TGCTCAGTGGTCCTTAGGTTGGAGCTACTTAGGACCAGAATAAATGCCTCCCCTGGGATGTGCTCCCCTTGAATTGTGCCTGTTGGCTACTACAGTGAGTGGAGCTGAGTCCCTGATAACAGATAGATGCTAAGACTTTCAGCAAAATGATTTATCTCTGTAGTTCTTTTTAAACCTGAGAGGCTAATATTTGTCTACAAGTTCAATACTCAATCATTCTGGGTTGAATCAGATTAACCCCTTGAGTACTTTGTCATTTGAAGTACAATCTAATAAAGTTCATGAGCAAAGATAAGAAATGAGAATCCTCGGGAGTGTTAAAAAAACAAACAGGGGATTATTTTCACAAACAATTGTAAGTCTTTTTTAAAAGTGGATATTGAATAGTGTACTTTACCACCCAGATATTTAAGCCATTGTGCTTATCTTTAGAAGTCAAGGCAGTGGCCATCCATGTGCAGCAAATGAACTGCCATCAAATGAACTCAGGAGGAAAAAGATAATACTAGTTACAATTATTTGTTCAAGAGTCTTACGCAATCAAATGAGCTCAGGAGGAAAAAGATAATACTAGTTACAATTTGTTCAAGAGTCTTACCCAATCAAATGAGCTCAGGAGGAAAAAGATAATAATAGTTACAATTTGTTCAAGAGTCTTACGCAGTGGTTCTCAACGTATGAGTCATGACTCCTCTGTTGTAAAATGATCATAACAGTAGCAAAATTATAGTTATGAAGTAGCAATGAAATGATTTTATGGTTGGGAGTCAAGGCAACATGAAGAACTGTATTAAAGCATTGCAACATTAGAAAAGCAGAGAACCCGGATATTATGAAAACTATCAAATTTAAACATGATATCCTAAAATTCTGACATATAGAATTTTGTAAGAACAGTTCACTACTTTATTTTAGAGGCGTGAAAGAGTTTCAAACTCCTGTAACTAATAGTGGATTGGAAGATCACAGCTCAGCACTGTTTCCTTGAACCCCTACCATGTGTATTTAAAACTTTTTCTTCACTGGTAGGTGGTGGCACAAGCCTTTAATCTCAGTACTGTGGAGGCAGAGGTAGGTGGATCTCTGTAACTTCAAAGCCAGCCTGGTCTACACAGCAAGTTCCAAGACAGCTAAGGCTGTAACTCAAAGAAACTCTGTCTCAACAAAATAAAGAAAACACATATACACAGTAAATAAAAAATAAAACTTCATTCATCTCCTTTAATTCTCTAAATTGTATAGAAATAACACAAGATACATGTTCAAGGAGATATAGAGTTTAGTATGAAAGTAATCTCTCTTAAAGAGCTCAAAAGAATTATCACTGTAAATGTTGGCCCCTTCTTGCTGTTCACGTATGTTTAGCACAGAAATTGAAAGCTGAAGACCTAAGGTTTATAAAATGGTCAAGCTGTTAGGCTGTTAGAGAGGTGAACAGAAATATAGTTAAATTTTATTTCTCCCATGGCCCTTGGCTTATACATAGCAAAATAACTTCAGAAATGTCAAGCAACTTGGCAAAATTAAACAGGAGGATCAAAACAGGTCCCAGAAAATAACACTATTACTTCCACTAAAATTAAGTATTCAAGTGGGACAAATAACCAAATACTCCTGGCACCTCCAATTCTTCAAGCTTCACGTTGACAGATGTTGCTTAGAAATGACTAGGTTTGATGCTTCAAAAATAGGAAGCAAGCATTAGCTTTAAGTTCTGCTGAGTTTGAGCTGGATGTTCCTCTGAAGTTGAGGTTTTAGATATAGCCCATATGCTGTGATTCTTGGATTGCTCCAATCAACTGTGAACTTTCCTCAGAAGCATAAATATCTAAGGAGTTTAAGTGTGGATAGAAAAGACAGTCAAATAAATGCTTTGCTTAAAAACCTATTAAAATATGGGAAAATGCACCATCATAAATTATTTGTATAACTGATTGTACTTTTAAAATATTCTCAAAAATGGGTGGTAATTTACCAAGAAGATGTAAATTATGAAATGAATTCCAAGTTAAAAGTACATCAATAAAGATGCAATAAAACTATTCTGCTATCTCGAATCACATGGACCAAATAAGGACAGCACACTGTCTCATCAAATCCAACTTTTTGTATACTTCATTGAAACCTGTGTTTGACAGATATTAAAAAAACTAGTTACACACATTTAATATATTTATTAATAAACTTTCAATAAATTGTAAAGCAAAATAGAAACCTTAAAAAATCGGGGATGAACTGCTGAGATGGGTGATAAGGAAGGAAGAAGTTTTGTTTTCAACATCATAAGCAGAATATTGTATTAGTTTGGGAATTAATTTTTTGTAAGAAATATAACTCTCTTTTGTACATTCATTTCAACCCTGCAGTTACTCAGTGTAAAGATAGACACTGTTGTAAATTATGACCACGTTAAACCTTCTGAGCCACACTTGGCTTTAGCCACATTTCTTCTCGATTTTTCTTTGCCTTTGGAATTCAGGCATCACAGACGAGGAAACTCAGCTCTCAAAAGTCAGTGCTTCTACTGAAATGCAAAGCACTAGCAAGTTATACCTAGGAGGAAAATGATGATTAAACTATTAGATTCATTTAAGATTGACTGAAAATAGAAAAAAATCTCCCCTAATATATGAGAATAGGAGAAGGTAAGGAGAGGAGGAAAAAAAAAATGAGAGAATGATTTAAATTAAGCTAAATTCCAGAAAGGGTATTGCAATTTAATCAAAATCTAGGTATTAAATTAGCTCTTGTAAATTGGGTTCTTGATTTTCATAATGAAGTTAAATCCAAGGACAAGAACAAAAGTATCTACAGACTGAACGAGTGTCTGAAACAGGGAGCCCAAGTGTAACCAGTTCATATAAAGCCTTAGTCCTGGGGTTCAGCTGGCTCTTCTTTAGCTCCTCAAGGATTATTGTGCATCACCGGAAGCAGCAGCTCCCACACAGGGATGATGATCATCCCCAGCAGATATTTACTCCTGTCTGCAGCTACGTTTGGGTTTCATAATTCGGGATCACTAATATCATCCACACACAAAAGGAATAAAGAATCTCAGGATGCAGAGTCATGGCCCCTGGAATAATGTAATCTGAAATGGCAAGAGCGACCTTTCAGAGAACCTGGGTCTAGGGTTACCCCACACGTGTAAGGAATCGGAGTGAGAAAACAGCCACGATCTCTAGTGCCACCACGTACAGGTGCATCAGGGAATGCAGGAAGAAACAAAAGCAGTTTGGGTACATAATGGAACATTCTTCTCTGAAAATAATCGAATGCTACCATTTGTATTGATATTGGTGAGCCTGGGGAATGGTATGCTAAGTGGTTCATGTGTATTCTAATACAGAATGATGTTTACCAAAAAGGGATGGAGAGTGTAAGGTAGAGGAATGAAGGCAAATGTTTGACCAATAGGTGCTTGGCTGCAGATAGACAAAACAAAGTTCTGCCTGGGTGAGTGTAGACAATGATAATATGCTATATACTTTAAAATGCTGGAAGGAGGGTCTAATCACAGAAAGAAGTGGGGCGAAGGTATCTTAAGAAAAAGACGACAGTGTGAATTTAAGGCAGCGTGAACTTAGGACAAAGGGGATTCAACTAAGATAAGCAAGCTTTTCTTGAATTCCTGATCTCTTGCCAGAACAATGAATCTAAATATAAGCAACAAGTCTGTGTGGTCGGTACAGACCCACATGTGCTGTGCTCATAACCTTTGTTTTATTGCATATTTAGCTTTCATGGGCTTGTGACTTCCAATTATAGTTTGAAAACACCATGTTTTATTTTATTTATGTCAATGGACATTTTACTAGTTCATTATACTAGTTCTACATTTTTTTTTGTACTGGTGATGAACTAAAGGATTTTGAATCTACAAGGTTGAAACTGAAAAATTTGTAATGACTCACTCAGTTTTCCTTTTAGTTCCACAGTCATTTTATTTGTTTTAGTCCTCTTCTGCAGTTTGTGTTTTTAATTAAATATGTTTAGTGTCAAGTTCTCTATTCATTTAAAGGCAGAGTGACTTGATACTGCCCGCATGGAAATGGGGAAAATTAAAAACTTTTTAGTCTGGTTTAATTAGCAATGACAGCAAAAACTGCTAAATTTCAGTATATCTTTGTAGATAATAGTGAGCTTTTCATGACTTCCTCACCTAAAGAATTTGTGTAGCATTAAAAGTGTGTTAACTAAAAGTTGATAGAATGACAGGAAGGAGGGGAATCACTCTGTTAAGGATCACACACATTATCTTTTGTAGATGTATAATACAAACCTTCTGACAATGATGAAAACTATAACTTAAAAGCCTCCAACATATATTTTTTTTCTGAATCAATATTTCTTAGTAAATTAATAAAGGTTTATTTGTAATACCTTTCAACTCTAAGAGGGTGACTTAAGTTGTAAATACAAATAACTTATAATTTCTTTCAGAATTTCACTATTCTTTGATATGTTTAGGGGTAAATGTTGTTCTCAAGATGTTTTCTGATCAGAGCTTAGAAAGTCCCCCCTGAATCTACCACTCTCTGATGAAGTATTAGCTGCTGATGGCTTCTGGGATAAGAGTAGGTACTATACTTAGCTGTGTGCAAAATAAATTGCCCTCCAGGCTTACATGCACAGTTCCAAACCTCATGGTCATAAATATCATCTTTGCTAAACTTAGTAGGTCTCAAAAGAAAAGAGATATAGATATTTGAAAAGGTGTTATAGGGAGAAGGAAGGTTAGTAAGGTTGGGAAGGGTATTGGAGAGAATAGGGCTTCCTGTAACCATACATCACTTTATATATGCAGGAAATTGTCAAAGAAAATAAGTAAACAAATACAGATAAAATATGGAAAAAATAGATAATTAAGATATTTTAGCAGAACTCTATATTCTCCTTCAGAACAGATGCACTGAAAATTATGTCTGATATTAGAGTATATTATGTCCATCATATGTTATATTACTTATTCATTGTACATGTTATTTTTATGCCCCAAGGGAGGGAAGATACCAATACGATGGACATCACCAGAAGCAATTGCTTACCGCAAGTTCACATCCGCTAGCGATGTGTGGAGTTATGGGATTGTTCTCTGGGAAGTTATGTCGTATGGAGAAAGACCATATTGGGAGATGTCCAATCAAGATGTAAGTATGAGCTTGTAGTTTATGAATTATGAGTTGAGATCAAAACTTCAAGCTGTGCAAGGAAGTGGAGCATAATGAAACCAGGTGGTAGCTACTTGGTGACATAGAAGTTGAATATTTAGTTAAAAAAATATCTTGTATCTTACAAGGGTTTTAATTGAGCTGTTTTTACAGCTTTATTTTGCTCCCTCAAGCAGGGATTTAAAAATGGGACAAATAGAATATTTATAACAATAATGTAGCAAAATTATATGTATGTGTGTATGTGTGTGTTCATGTGTGCATGCAAGAACAATATTTTTGCTGGATATTTTTCTACCTAACATTATTAAGACTATGCATGCCATCATTTCTTGACTAAATTTTTACAACTGCTCCAGTATTTGCTTACTTAAATTTAGTATCCAAAGAGACAAAATTAATAATCACTACCATGTTGTTTCTAATAATACTCTAGGCCTGCACATGAACTTAATCATAGAAACTGAGTCAGGCTAGAGGAAAAAATCTTTAGCATTCTGTTAGAACTACAGAATGAGCGTTTTTTTTTTTACTAAAGTAGAATCATGTTTGCATTTTTTGCATGTTGCTACTGTTTAAAAAAAGATACTATTAGCACATGGGATTAGCATATTTCTTTATGCTTACCAGGAATTTTGTGCATGAACCCAAATATACAAGAAAGCAAATTGAGATGATGCTATCCAATTTCAAGTCACTGCTTATGAGATTGCCTCTTCTGTATGTTGATATATCAATAATACTCTGTTTTCTCACATGTGCTTAGTATTTAAAATACAGCAATTATGGTAGAATCACATTAAGTTTTCCATGTATTTTCTTCAAATTGATGTTATATTAGAGCATCTAGAAGCATGGTACCTGGACCCACAACTTTAGCCTGGCCTAGGAACTTGTTAGGAATAAAAATTCTCGGGATTTACCCCCTAAGTGGATGATTCAGTAATTCATTGAGAGGAAAGTATTTTGCACATTAAGAACTTCTCCAGATGTTTCTGATTTACAATAAACTTTTAAAATTGCTGCGTTATATATTTAAAAACAGTAATGCATAGCCCACAGTAGTGTACAAAAGAGATCTTCTCTGGGTCACAAAGTTCTGAACTGTGGTATGATTGGAATCTGATTTATTTTGCATGAATCTTCACAAGACTATATATATATATATATATATATATATATATATATATATATATAATAAAAATAATCATTTTATAGCAACCAAATTCCAGTACTATGGAACATTTATTTTTACCTTGGTTTTCAAAAGACCTTTACACACACTACTTTCCATTTAATCTTCCTGTCTAAAATATTTTCAGGCATGGATAATCTGTTATGGATACAACTAGCTCTTGTCTTCATTGGACATTTTTAAAAACTATCTTATCGAACTTTAAAATATTCCTACGAGTGTGAATGAAAAACTCCAATGAGTCTCTTGTCTCTGACCCTGGAAACTTCTCCTCCCGTAGGTAATTAAAGCAGTGGATGAGGGCTACCGCCTCCCGCCTCCCATGGACTGTCCAGCTGCCTTGTATCAGCTGATGCTGGACTGCTGGCAGAAAGACAGGAACAACAGGCCCAAGTTTGAGCAGATTGTCAGCATTTTGGACAAGCTCATCCGGAATCCAGGCAGCCTGAAGATCATCACCAGTGCAGCAGCAAGGTGACACATTGGCTGTGCATGCTACTCTCTTTTCACAACACATGATTCCCACCCCCCTCCAACCGGATTCTAAGAAAGTGTGGTTCTCAGAACTGGAGTGGAAGAACTCTCCTGTGATTTTGGAATAATAATGGAAGTATTAGTATGATTTTTAGCTAGAAGTGTCCCTATCTTCAAGCTTAAGTCTGGGAAATATGAAAGCTGAACACATAGTTTATTTTACTATTCACCATTTAAGGGAAAGGGGGATAAGTTACTTGCTTAAAGCTATATTCCAGTAGTTGAGAACATTCTGATGGTGTATATCAGTAAATCCAGCCTTTGAGAGGTGGAGGAATCCACAGTCATTCTCAAACACATAATGAGAGCAAATCAGACTGAGTTACAAGAGACCCTTACAAAACAAAGAATAAAAACAAGAGAAAAACACAAATTAAACCAAAAGATCCAGCAGTTTGTGAATGTGTGATTAGTATGTGTGTGTAAATATGTGTATAAGTGACGTTCTGATAATTATGAATTTTGACCAGATTTTATGTAAACACTGGATGTAATATTTTAAAAAATAAAATGAAAAGAATGTCCCTAAATCTAGAATGAAGAAAATACTAAAATTTAAAATACAAGAACTGATTATAGCATTTTAGAAAATGAGGGTCCATACATAGATGATAGATAGATAGATTGATAGATAGATAGATAGATAGATAGATAGATGATAGATTGTGTGTTAATTTTTTCTTGAATATATTCAAGTTCTGTAATGTGCTTTTATAGACATGTGTTGTAAAATGATTAGCATAATCAAACTAAGTAGTGCTTCATCATTTTACGTATTTAACTTTTATATCAATTAACTTTACAATGAGACATCTTAAAATCTTTCTAGACCCATATCCTAACACTTATGAATTATTTTTACAGTCATCATGTTGTACATTAAGAGTCACAACCTTTTTAACTTAAAATACAAATGTGTTTCTTGTAATTACAATCTTCTAATTTGTCTCAACTCTCATTCTGGGTGAACTCTATACTCTCTGTCTCTGTGTGGGACCAATTTTAGATTCAATTTGCAATTTCATACCACAGTTATTTATTCATCTGTGGATTATTTCACTTAAAATAACTCCCTCTAGATTCATTCACATTGTTATAAATACTAAATATGTTGATATATAGTGAGAACATGAATGTTATTACTGAATATATTGACACATAGTAAGAACATGCATGTTTTCGTAGTCATTTATTGCTGGTGTTTGTGTTATTTTACCTCATTGCTTTTGCTGCAATAGGGAAAATATATTTTAAGTTAATTAACTTATTCCTCTTGCTATCCACCAATAATTGGATTATATTTTGGCTCTACTTTTAATTTTTTGAGGAAATTCCATGTTATATGAATTTAGATTCCCAACAATATTACTTTTATTCACATTAATTATAACTCTTAAAGTCTAATGTGTTTTTAATCATGTCCACCTTTCCCAATGTGAGGTGATTTTGTAGTGATTTTTATTTGCATGCCCCAAAAATAGGTGAATGGTTTACACATAATTACAATTTTTTGGTCCCTTTGTGTGACAAGAATGTATTAAGTCTTTTGTCTATCTTTTATGAAGTCATTCATGGTGTTTTTATTGTTAGCATGTGACTTCTTATACATTGCGATTATTAACCTACTATTAGATATATGGTATGTAGAGTTTTCTCTATTCTGTAGATCTATTATGGTATTTTTGAATGATTTCACTGCTGTGCAGAATTTTTTTTAGTTTGTTGTAATCATACTTATTTTCTTTTCATTAGTTGGTTTTGCTTTGGTGGCCATATCCAAAAACTACTTCCAAGACCAATATAATAGTGTTTTTTTTTAATCTGTTTTTTTTCTTTAATTTCTTCTTTTCTTTTTTTGTTTTCTTTCTCTCTCTCTCTCTCTCTTTTTTTTTTTTTTTTTTTGGTTTTTTGAGACAAGGTTTCTCTATAACTTTGGAACCTATCCTGGAACTAGCTCATGTAGACCAGGCTGGCCTCAAACTCACAGAGCTCTGCCTGCCTCTGCCTCCCTAGTGCTGGGATTAAAGGTTTGTGCCACCACTGCCTGGCTTTAATCTGTATTTTCTTATAAGTGTTTTATAGTCCAGAACTTATGATTCAATCTTTAAACCACTTTGAATTGGTATAGTGAGCATACATGATCAAGATTTATATGAAATTTTAACAAAAGAAGGGAAATCTAAATCATGCTTTTAATGTCGTTGCGTGAGAATGATAGTTTATTAGTTTCATTTGACATTTAACAGTTACTACACTTGAATTTATTAATGTACTTTTAGAAGAAATTTTCTCATAATTTATTCAAACAAAATTCACCTATGTCCCAAACTTGACAAGAAGTGAAATAACGCAGACTTTGTGAAAATCTACCTGACAGTTTGACAACTGGCTGGCTTCTAGGCCTGTCCTTGCCAGAGCATATGGTCCTCATTTTACACCTTGAAGCTATTTCTTTTGATCTTTGCTCAGTGGTAAACTGTAGCAGGGAAAAACAACCCTTCAGCCCTCTTCATCTCGTGAGGAGGCATTCAAACCTTCCACTGGATGGTCTTACCACACTAAAGATGAATGATGCTATAGGATATAGGACTATTTAACCCCAGTTCTGTGGATGAAAATAGTCTTACATCAGATTATAGAATGTCAGGAGACACAGAAGTAAGTATCCAACCTTTAATACTTAAAGTTTAGACTTTCTGAATCGTTTTATCTAGTATGCAATTTTTTGCTACTACAGCATTAAATACCCAAATAATTTCTAGAAATTTAGACACAAAGCATTTAGTTCTGGGGAAAAAATAGATATTTTTTTCTATAAAATGACATTGGTTTTAGTTCATCAAATGTAAAACTGGCAACTCTACTTATAGTTATAAAGGTATTTGTCTTGGGAGGCCAGCCCATGCAAAGTCACTGTCAGGCTTATTCATTGCCACTCAAGGATTTCAATACTTTTCCTTCCTCTAAAAATAAAAATGAGTTCCCACTGTTTGACAGTAATAGTGTTTTTTTTAATTGATTGAACTTGTTTCCTTCCTTAATTTTCAAACAGTGTTCTTAAAATAGTCATGATTGAAATTTTTAAAGATGAGTATGTACTTTGGAGATCCTTGGTGGCAAAATGAAATTTACTGCCACTTGTTCTTATCCACTTTGTTGTTTCTAGTCATTTTTGAAGGAAGTGTTCCTTGGACCATCATGAGCAAATTCTACTGTTTTCTTACTTTCTGCTTCTGTCTCCTCTTTATATATCTAAAATTTTCATTTCTGTGTGATCTTTGCAATAGAAATATACTTATGACATTTCTCACATTTTGCAGTGACAGGCATCACCAAAAGAATTTATAAAGTGTATCTGACCCTAAATCTTTAAGAAAGAACTCTAGAATCCACTTGCTTCATAAAACTCTGGTGACTGCTTTTTCTCGACAGGTAAATTTAAGATGTTGCGTTCAGTATCACCTGTATGGGCAGATATCTTGGATCACTACAGTCCTATTTTTCTAACATTCCTCAAACCAAAACTTCCCAAAGAGTAGTTTCAAGATATTTCTAATATGTGTTCTGAAACATTCATATTTCTCTGTCCTCCAATTGGCAGATTTGTTCTACTGTTTGTTTAGGGAGTTGAGGTAAGATTTTGGCATGCCATCGTTGCAACATCCATTGCTGTAAACTAGTCTACTGCATTGACTGCCTTACTAAGCTCCTCTTCTCTTTTTCCCTGGACCAAGCAGCTGTCCACATAGCACTGAGATCGTCTTATACAAACAAGTATAATTTTAACCATTTTATAGCCAATTTGATATTATCTTTATAACACCAAGGAATTGGTAGACTTTTTGGCGGCTTTAAAAAGCCTTGCTTTCCCAGTGACACTTTTCATTTATTCACTAATTTCTGTGGAAGACTATGATAAGCCCACCTTTATATAATAAAAACTAAGTTGTCCCTAAAAATGAGGAAGCCGGTGGTCCTGATCATGTTCACAATTGTGCTACAGAAGATGTACAATATGCAATAGGCAGTAAGACTATAGGATGAAAGAAATAGGTTGTTATATGGAGATTAAACCCTCTGAAGAGCTTGGGTTTGATCTATTGTCTGCAGGGTAATAATGACTTAGCTGTTAAAAGAGTCAATAGCCCCTCTCACATACACACCCATACACAGAGTATTAGAGGCAATAAGTGAATTGAAGATAAGTGAACTAAAGATACCTTAAGATGAGAAGTGATTTAAAGGTACTGGGAAGTGAGTGGGAGATAGGTAATATTACTGAATAGCAGTGGAAAAAGAATTGTTTTATCATAGCCTCAAGATGCAAACGGAAGCCAGAGTGCTTAAGACTATGAGATAATCACAAAGATTTTGAGATTTGTTTTCAAGTGCATAAGGAATCTATTAGAACATCTGAAGCTGAGAAGTTACATGAGTTGATTTATGCAGCATTTCTTAGGGGTCCATTTTATCCAGTGGCTCCTTTCACTTTAGCAACACAGCAGCCTGCGGGGCACTTCCAGTTCCTTCAGCACACTGAGCATCTCAGAAAGCAGAAGCTCCTGCTTTCACCCATCCCAGATTTTCCTTTGTGTCTTTTTGTCCTCATAGAGTCAGCTAGTGCACCATGTATTTATTGACAGAGTTTTCAGGTAATATAATTAATATTCAATGCCCTTATTCCTTTACAGAATGAAATATGATAGTGAGCATATTCTTCAATCTGGATTTTCTGTGTGAATTTTTAAAAGTAACACTTCATTTGCACTGGTTCACAGCAGAATCTTTCTATTATGTGTATCTTTGTGAACATCACTTTCTCAAGAGTCCATGACTAGAGAAGACTATAAAGTAGATGGTCCGGATGCCCCTAGGACCACTACACATCACAAGGAGTAATGAGATGGGATGCTATATTAAATTTAAAATATATTAATTTA